AGATTCAGAAGGCGCTGAAAGGTCTGGGATAGGCTGGGAATCGCAGTACTGGTTAGAATGTTCTCACAAACACTTTCTAATCCGTCAGGGAGACCAGAGAGAGTCACAACCGTAAAGAGACGCTCCACTTGCGTCCGGTACACTGTAGCATCCGCAGCATGAGGTAACATAGCCAAAAATTCCTGCATCAAAGAACGAATCTCACCAACATAAACTTCCATACGAGCTTCGGGTGATTTGCGCAAATCCATCATCTGGGAGACAATGGAATAAAGTTGTTGAATATCATTGGTGTAGAGGTTTTTGGCTTCCGTCCACACATCATAGCAGGTCTCAAAAGGAATGAAAATATTGAGAAGAGATGAATCAATGGATTGCCAAAGAATACTGAGGAGCTGAGCATCAACTTTCTCCCATTCAGTAATCTGATCTTGGGAAATATCAGTCTTCTTAGTGGTGAGATGTTTGTCATGGCCTTGACCGGTAAACCAGATCTTAACGGAGGTAGACCAGGTCTTGTAAGTGGCAGATCCGGTCAATTTCAGAGTTGTGATAGATGGAATAACACTTGAAATGATGCCGGAAGAATGTTTACTGGTTCCTTCCATCAGGAACAGCGATCAGACAACCAAAAAACTGTAAAAATTACGCGAAAAAGGAACAAAGTAGCGACTTTTGCACTGGAAACCCTCGAACGGAAGAGACCCACAACGATCGGTCACTGGATCTGGAAGGAGGAGGCAGAGGCGAGCCTGTCTGCCTTGGTTTGGTCGGAAAAGGTGGCCGGAACAGTGCACACGCGCCGGAGAGAGGTGGCGCGTGAGGCCCACGCGCAGACAGCTGTGGTGGCGCGTGGAGGCGCGTGCGGCGGCCGTTTGGGACGGGTCTTGAACAGAAATGGTCGCCGGCGTGAGGGGATCCTGATCGCGTGGTTTCTCGCCGGAAAGGTGGCCGGAACAGTGATGAACAGTGACGGAATGGTGTTTCTGGCGATGTGAACAGTGTTTTCTGGTCAAATAATGAAGGAGGATGACGATCTGAGATCGAAAAAGGGTCTAACAATGTTCGGAGGGTTGAAAAGGGTTGCCGGTATGATGCACGGCGGTAAAAAGGTTTGCCGGTATGATGCACGGCAGTAAAACGAAAGGAAAAGATATATATGCGGAAGCAGAGCCCTCAGATCGAGAGCTCTGATACCAAATTGAATCTGAAATATATTGTATATTCAAGTGTGTAAGTCTGTACAAGGAGGCTCTCTATTTATAGAGACTAAAAAGACCTAATGGGATGACCTAATGGGCCAAGCCCACAATCTAGACTATTCTAGACTATTCTAATAATAATAAAATAATATTATTTCTAACAATACCAATTTCTTCTAGGATATCCAAGGCATATTTCCTTTGACAGATAGAAATGCCCTGTCTGGATTGCGCCACCTCAATTCCCAAGAAGTAACGCAGCTTCCCAAGGTCCTTTGTTTGAAATGTACTAAACAAATGCTGTTTTAACTGACGAATTCTGTCTTGATCACTTCCGGTGAGAATGATGTCGTCAACATAGACTAACAAATAGATACACTTATCAGGAGATGTAATCCTATAAAACACAGAATGGTCAACTTTACTGCGGATTAAGCCAAACGCCTGAACAGCAAAACTGAAGCGACTGAACCATGCTCGAGGAGACTGCTTGAGACCATATAAGGATTTCCGAAGACGACACACCTTTCCAGACTCCCCCTGAGCAACAAAACCAGGTGGTTGCTCCATGTAAACTTCTTCTTGTAAATCACCATGAAGAAAAGCATTTTTTGATGTCAAGTTGAAGGAGTGGCCAGTGACGAACAACAGCAAGGGCAAGAAAGAGGCAGACTGACGCCATCTTAGCGATCGGAGAAAATGTATCGCTATAATCAAGGCCAAAGATTTGAGTAAAACCCTTGGCAACTAAACGTGCCTTGAGACGATCAATATGGCCATCAGGTCCAACTTTCACAGTAAAAACCCAGCGACACACAACTATAGACTTCTCTGGAGGAGCAGAAACAAGGTCCCAAGTGCCATTGGAATGAAGTGCAGTCATCTCATCAAGCATTGCTTGGCGCCACCCTGGATGGGAAAGTGCTTCACCTGTGGTCTTAGGAATAGAAATAGAAGAAAGACTAGAAACAAAGGTGAAATGAGGTGAAGAAAGATGGTCATAACTCAAAAAGGTATAAAGAGGATAAGGGTTACGAGTAAAACGTGTACCTTTTCTTTGAGCAATGGGAAGAGTCTCTGATGAAGGATCCGGAGGGGAAGAAGCAACAGCAGTGAGCGATGAGTCAGCAAGAGTCGAGTCGACAGGAGGCACAGTTTTGCGACGCTGATAGGTGAGAAGTGGACGGTCCTCAGGTATAGAAGCAATAGGTTGCTCATCTGGAATAGAAGCACCTGCAACTGGCAAAGACAAGTCAAGAAAAGGGACAGGAAGTACATGATCAACCTGTGACATCTGAGATGGGATAGAATTAAAGGGTTGTTGATCAAGAAAAGTGACATCAGCGGAAACTAAGTAACGCTTAAGGTCGGGAGAATAACAACGATAACCCTTTTGAAGACGAGAATAACCAAGAAAGATACACTGAAAGGCTTTGGATGTTAACTTATCCTTGCCAAGAGTGAGATCATGAACAAAACAAGTACAACCAAAGACATGTGGAGTTAGAGGATAAAGAGGAACATCTGGAAGCAATAGATTATGAGGAATGTCATTGTGGAGCACAGATGAAGGCATGCGATTGATGAGAAAACAAGAGATGAGTACAGCATCTGCCCAGAAGTGGGGGAACCTGCATATGAATAAGAAGGGTACGGGCAGTTTCAATGAGATGTCTGTTTTTACGTTCAGCCACCCCATTTTGTTGTGGAGTGTGAGGACAAGTAGTTTGATGTAAAGTACCTTGTGTGGCCAAGAAATTAGAAAAATCAATAGAAACATATTCCTTAGCATTATCACTACGTAAAATACGAATAGAAACACCAAATTGAGTATGGATCTCAGTAGAAAACTTTTTATAAATGGAAAATAACTCAGAACGATTTTTCATTAAATAGGTCCAAGTGCAACGGGAAAAATCATCAATAAAGGTAACGAAATACCGAAAACCTAAGACAGACAAGGTACGACTTGGACCCCAAATATCTGAATGAACAAGAGAGAAAGGGGCAACAGCTCGTTTATTGACTCGACTGGCAAAAGAGGAGCGTGTATGCTTCCCTTGTTGACATGACACATAATCTAAAGACTGAAGACCGGACAAAAGAGGATCCATTTTCTGCAACTTTGAAAGACTTGGATGACCAAGGCGACTGTGGATAAGTTGTGGAGATTCTGTGAGAGAGCATGCTACTGAAGGACGAGGCACATCCAGATAATAAAGCCCCTGTGACTCACGACCCACTCCAATCATTTTCCCCGTACCCGGATCCTGCACAGAAACAGAATGGTTAGAGAAAGTAATGGTGCAAGTGAGGGAGTGGATCAACTTACTAATAGAAATTAAATTATAAGGGATGCCAGGAATGTAATAGACAGATGTCAGGGCCAAGGTAGAGGTCGGACGAGCTTGTCCAATCCCACGAACTGGGGCTTTGGTTCCATCCGCAAGGGTAAAAGACAGTAAATGATCAGAATAAGTAAGAGATGTAAAGAGTTCCTTATTACCACAGAGATGATCGGTAGCACCGGAGTCAAATATCCAAGTGCCAAGTGATGTAGAATGAGAAACACAAGCAACGGGATTACCAATATAAGGCTGAGACTGAGGAGAAGCCTTCCTGAGAGGGGTTTGGAGTGCAGCATAGTCCGAACCTGAACCAAATGATGCATTGTCTGACTGAGCTATATTTGCAACAATAGAAGGAGAGTTAACCTCCGAGAGATCAGGAGATGATGCTGCCATTTAAAGATAAAATATAAAAGCCATAAACGAAGGCAAACGATATCCAATCAAGGAGAACCACGCGTCTAAGGTCAGACCCACAGAGGAACAATCACAGATCCAGAAAGGGGAGGAGAATGCGAGCTTCTCTGTCCAAGACCGGCCGGAAAAAACCGCCGGAGTAGTGCACACGCGCCGGTAGAAGGTGGCGCGTGAGGGATGCGTTGGTGACCGGACCTCCACAGACTTGATCGCCGGGAGGAGACGGTCCTAATCGCGTGACGTCTAGTCTGAAAAGTCGCCGGAAAAACGTCTCTCGTGGCCTGAACAGTGGTCCTAGTGGCGGACGGTGGTTCCGGTGGCCGTCGACGGTGCTGACGCGTTTGGAAAATTACTCAGAAGCTGTTTACAGCCCTAGATGGCTTGCCGGAAGGACGCACGGCAAAGAAAGAGGACTCCTAAGCAGTGGGCTTAGGTTTTAAAGCAAAAACAAGGTTTCTAAGCGAAAGCGAGAGTCCTCAGAACAAAAGAGCTCTGATACCAACTTGAATATAAAATAATATGTTGTGTATTGATCTAATTTAGAGGGATACAATATATAGAGACTCTAATGGGCTTAAGTGAAAGGCCCAGACCTAATACAAACCTAATACAATCAGAATTAATTACAGACTAATCATATCTAATCATAATAATTACAGACTAATCATATCTAATCATATTTAATATATTCTAACAAAATTAAATACATGATGATTTACTTCCTTATATACATAATCCTAATTGATGTTATACATAATTACATATATGAGGATATTCTAACAATCATAACATTGGTTTTTGGCCAAAGTTGATGGGCTATTTATCACTCCTAGTTTTTCTTTCATCTTCCTTATTAATTATTATTAATTGCAACTTTTTCAAATTACTCAATTAGATATTTTTTCAAATTAAATATTCTTAGGGAAATTTTTTAAATTTTTATCAATTAGTTTATCACAAGTATTGGTAGAAATTAATCACTTAACTATCAAGGAAGACATAGTATATCCATAATATAATTATTGTCGAATACCTCATCAGTGGATCCAAATCGATTTTTCACAGCTCGAAGCATACGATGGGAAGAGTATTTCTCGCCCTG